CAAAAAAACACAGAAATACGACACCAAGGGAGGGTCCAGTACTGCTACGCGCTAGTACAACTAGAGCCGGCAATGGCGGCTCAACCAGTGCTACCACTATTGCTCTATCTCTTACTCGTCCCTCTGCTGCTCCTCCTCCGGGCAACAACCACGAGGTCGGCCGGCGAGCGAGCAGCAGCGGACAACCATGGGGGCCGTCCCCTCCCTTCGCCTCCGAACAAGCTCCCTCTCATCGGCCACCTGCACCTGGTCGGCCCCGACCCGCACGTCTCCCTCGCCGCCCTCGCCGCCAAGCACGGCGATGGCGGCTCATGCTCCTCCGCCTCGGCCAGACGCGCGCCCTCGTCGTCTCCTCCCCGCGCGCGGCCGAGGCGGTCCTGCGCACGCACGACCACGTCTTCGCCTCGCGGCCGCCGAGCGCGCTCGTCGACGCCCTCCTGGGCGGCGGCGCCGACGTCGCCTTCGCCCCCTACGGCGAGTTCTGGCGCCAGGCCAGGAGGCTGGTCACCACGCACCTGCGCAGCGCCAGGAAGGTGCACTCGCTCCGCCGCGGCCGCGAGGAGGAGGCGCGCCTGGTGATGGCCGGGATCCGGGGCGCGGCGGCCGCCGGCGCCCCCGTGGACATGACGAGGCTGCTCGGCAGCTTCACCAACGACATAGCGTGCCGCGCCGTGTCCGGGAAGTTCTTCCGGGAGGAAGGCCGGAACGAGCTGTTCCGGGAGGCGATCGACGGGAACGTGGCCGCGTTTGGCGGGTTCAGCGTGCTGGACTACTTCCCGGGCCTGGCCAAGGTGGGCGTGCTCGCGCGACTGGTGTTTGCCAAGACCAATCAGTTGAAGAGGAAATGGGACGAGCTGCTCGATAAGATCATCGACGACCATGTCAGCAAAGCATCGGCACAGGAGCAACACCCCGAGCACGATCAGCAAGAAGATCAAGAAGAGACAGACTTCGTTGATGTGCTGCTCGATCTTCAGGAGGGGTACAATCTCACCAGAGAGCATATCAAGGCCATATTGATGGTAAATCTCCTCTCATACCCTCATAATACCTTTGTCTTGGTTTATTAGTCCCTTTTGTAATTTATGCTAAATTTTGATCAAATATTTAACTGACAAAACCTTAATACATGTAAAATAATTATATCCTTAGATTCTTATTTGAACATAGTTTTTGATAATATAAATTTTGGTGACATGCACGAATATTTTGTTAATTAAATTTATGGTCAAAATTTAGCACAGATTACAATGGAGACAAATAAACCAGGACAAATGTTGTATGTTCGTAGCTAGCCTATTATGGTAAATATGGTCATATATTAAGTGTGCTGATGCTTCAGATCGAACCCATACACAAGACATGTTTGTGGCAGGCACGGATACGTCATACATAGTTCTCGAGTGTGCCATGGCTGAGCTCATGCGAAAGCCGAACCTCATGACCAAACTTCAAGCCGAGGTGAGGCAAAAGACACCCAAGGGCCAACAAATGGTGACCGAGGACGACTTGGGCAACATGGCCTACCTAAAGGCCGTCGTGAAGGAGACGCTCCGGCTACACCCACCGCTGCCGCTCCTCCTCCCGCACCTCTCCATGGCCGAATGCGATATCGACGGTTATAAAGTCTCCGCTGAAACTCGTGTGATCGTAAACGCTTGGGCTCTTGGTAGAGACCCTGGATCGTGGGAGGCTGCCGACGAGTTCATGCCGGAGAGGTTTGTGGACATCGTGTCCCTCGATTTCAAAGGGAGGGATTTTCAGTTTCTGCCATTTGGAGCTGGGCGAAGGATGTGTCCCGGGATAAATTTTGGGATGGCGTCTGTGGAGATCATGCTCGCCAACCTTGTCTATTGTTATGATTGGGAGCTCCCGGACGGCATGCGGCAAGCGGGCCTGGATATGACTGATGTGTTTGGCATGACTATGCGTCGGAAAGAGAAGTTATTTCTTATCCCGAGAATGAGATGTTAATCATGCATACTATCTGTCATGAGTTATGTGCACTTGTAAAGCTAGATATTACACTAGTATATATGGTTTTCCCAGTTTTCAAGAGGGTATGTGGGGAATACTCCAGGTACTCACATTCTGCCACATAAAAACTACCAACCTTCATCCCATTTCTAGTCCACCGCGATCAAACGGGTTTTATTGATGGTCGAAATATCGTGGAGCACGTTATCATTGATGCCTACCTCATCAAGTCTTGCCATGGTAGGAAGGAGCAACCCATGGTCATTAAGCTTGACTTTTGAAAAACATTCGACTCAGTTTCCCGGACTCCACTTATATCCACTCTAAGGCTTCGTGATTTCCAACCATTTTTTGGTAGACACCATCCTTTCTACCGGCAAAACAGTGGCCATGCTAAATGGTGGTACTCGGCCCTTGATTGCCTGCAAACACTATATGAGACAAGGCAAGCCCTTTCACCTTATCTCTTCATTATTGTTGTTGATATCCTTCAACAACTAATAAATAAAAATCATAGTCATAGTTCTCTCTCCTATCCATTTACAACTACCTACCACCAACAACACTAGAATACATGGGACGGCGCCCTTGTCGCAGCTAAGTTCTCACCCCAAGATGTTGAAACCCTAAAACACATCTTAGACGACTTCGCTTGAACCCTGAATTGATCTGACGTGTTTGGCATCAGATCTCGCCATCACAAACAGATGATGAGAAACCATAACCTCAGCGCCCAAAGAGACGACAGGAATCTACGTTGGCACTATGTTGGTTCCGTCCAGACGGACAAATTCGAGGAGGATCGGAGCTCAGAAGACCAACTCAAAGAAGAGGCGTTGTCATCCGCCTGAACACCGCCCTGTGAGGACTAAAAACCCTAACCTAAACTACTAGTCGGAGTCGAGACACCGAAATTCTCCTCCAACCGCCTGCCGACAGAGCGGCAAGCAGAGGTGAGGCGAATCCACGGGTCAGCCGGTGTCCAGAGACCCTCTTTGGTTCATAGGATATGAGTATCAAGTGAGTAGAAAAACCATAAGCGGTGACATGTATCTCAAATAATGAAAAAGGAAATGACGTTTGGTTCATGTGGTAAGAATTTTTTTCATTATGCCTAGGCTAATGCTTTTTTCCTTTGGCAAAGAATTGACTCCTATCCTAGGAATAAGCAATAAGATTATATTGCTATAACCAAAGGCCTCAAAGAACATTTTCCTATGAAATTATTATCCTTTTGAATTCCTAAAAAATCATGTAAACCAAAGGGGCCCTAAATTAGTAACAGCTGAAGATCTCTTACTCCTAAATGAGATAATTACTGTAAGAAATGCTAAAAGATGGGGTGAAAATGAGAATTTGCCGAAATCACTAATTGAGAAGTACTCCTCGCAAAGACCACTCTCACCTTTCTAGGTTGCGACAAATGGCGCGCTATATGTGCGTCACTTGTCACAATCTTGGAGTTTTCCCTTTTTTCATAGATCTGTTTATTCAAAACATTTTATCTCTTAAACCGTGCATTCAAATATCGAACTGTTTTCACCGTTTGATTTCTCGCGTCAAAATCTTCAAAACTAGATCCCATCTTGGTAGATTTTAACAAACTTTTTTCACAAAAAAACCGAACCAGGAGCATGGTTTTTTCCCTTTCCGAAAGAGGCACGGCCGTGCCTCTTGGGAAATAACAACCGTGCCTCTCGCGGAAAAAAAGAGAACAAAAAACGCATTTTTTTTCGTTTCTGAGAGGCACGATCCGTGCCTCTCGTGGGAGGAAAAAAATAGAAAACATGTTTTTTTCGTTTCCAAAAGGCATGGCGGGCCTCTCACGAAAGCAAAAACCGTGCCTCTGACGGAATAAAATAAAATAGAAAACACTTTTTTTTTCGTTTCCGATAGGCATGGTTGTGCCTCTCTGAAAAGCTAAATCATACCTCTCGCGGAAGCAAAAAAAACATGTTTTTTCATGCAAATTATTTTAGCCTAAATGCTAAGGAAGACCGGTGGAAAACCAAAATGTCGAAAAAACCCAGAAAAAACCGTTTAAAAAGCCAAAAACGCGTGCGAAAATAAAAATACAAAATCCGAAGGGAGCATCCGGAGCGTGACATGTGATGGGCGGCTGAGAGCGCGCCAAGTGAGGCTGGTCGTTGTGAGGCTCCCGAAGGAACGCTAGTCAACTAGTTGCTCCCAGAATTTGCTCTAATTTTTAACTTGAAAATAAAGCTCAACTGGGCTGGTTTTGAAGCCCAGTTATAAGCGGCGTCTGAGCCCAGTTATAAGCTGGGCTGGTTCCGGACAGATTTGGGCAATCCAGAAAATCTAAGCCCAACCTTCTACCATTGCGCACCAGTGGAGAAGGTTCAATAGCTCTAAGATGTTGCGCTGCTGCGCCGCCGCTGGTGGCACCTTCTCCCTCGATTCCGGTGCGCGCCTCGCTGAAGCCATCGAACGTACTCCCATCCCCTCCCCACTGGCTAGCGGATCTTCGCAGCCTGCCGGCGAACATCTTCCCAGCCCCTCGCAGTCACCCGGCGAGTTGGGCCGGCCGGAATCGAACAGGAAGCCGCGGAAGCTGGCGAACCGGCGGCTGGTGGCCGCCGCAGGTGTAGCTCATACGATCCGTCGATCCACGACTCGGAGGTAATTAGCCCAGTTCTCTATTTTATTTGTATTCTAAAATAAAATAAACATCATGTAGTTAACTGCATGATATTAAGCCAAAAGTTATTTGTTAGTATTAACCAAATAACTGCATGATCAATTAGCCCAGTAGCTTGGAAATTGGGGTGGATTTAACTGCAGTTATTTGTTATTAAGCCAAAAGTTAGAGCTATTGATCCTGCAACTTTGTCAGCGAAGAGGACCATTTGTTATACCAGGAGCCATCTTCCTACAGCTCTTAACAAGTTTGCTAGCTAGAAAAGCAAACATCATGTACCTGTATTATTCAGCAAGCTAACAATATGCAAATTACCTTATCCATTGCATACATCATACTAGACCATATTACAGTTGATGTGGGCTTATCCAAAATATCTGAATAATACTAACTGATCATATAGCACCCCAACCCCAAAGAACACACCAAATGCAATCGCGAAGATGATCTTTTCGCTGCATTGTTTTGCAGGGATGATGGAGACGGGAGCTGCTTCAACTGAACTGCAATGGTTAGTAAGCACAGAGCCGCACAGCTTTGGGTTCCCGTCAAAGCTAGACGCCTGGAAGGTGCTCAGCTGCTCTTCTGCTGGAATAGGTCCTTCTAGGTCGTTGTTAGAAATGTTGAATCGTGAAAGGAAGTGAAGATTCTCCAATGCCACAGGGATTGCACCCGTGAGATGGTTATTAGACAAATCTAGCCCTTGGAGGTTCCTGAGGTTGCAGATTGATTGTGGGATCTCTCCATAAAAGTTGTTGAAACTCAAGTTCAGGTAAAGGAGTGCTTTCAGATGACCAATCTCTTGTGGGATCACACCTGTGAATTTATTTTTACCGAGATTCAGCACTTTAGGCCAAGAACTGCCCATGCGGTATTGAAGTGATGGATTCATATATATTGGTAGATCAGGGAGGTTTGGGTCCAAATAGATGGCAGGCTTGTCTGATTTTAGCATTGCCATCTCCATCAAGGCGATTGGGATTTCCCCAGAAAGACTGTTGTTTGATACGTCCAGATGGAAGAGGTGGTTTATGGAGTTGTTCCAGCTTGGCATTGGTCCGGTGAGTTGATTATTAGATAACACTAGTATCTTCAGACTTGTAAGCTTTGATAACCAAGTAGGTATCCTTCCAGTAAACGAACATTGTTGCATGGACAGAAACTGAAGATTCTGAAAACCGTCAATGGTTTCATCTTGTGGCATGGCCTCATTCATGAAGTTTGTGCCAATAAACAGAGTGCTGATGTTCCTGCAGCTCTTAAGGGCATGCAAAGATTTTGTGATGTTTGTGAAGGAGTTTCTAACAAGTGATAGGAAGGACAGGTGCTTCAGATTGCCTATTCTCGGTGAGATCTCACCATGGAAATGGTTGGCCGACAGCCGCAGTGCAGCCAAATTGCTGCATGAGTAAATGCTTTCTGGAATGATGCCACTGAAATTATTCATCATGAGATCTAAACTTCTTAGATTCTGCAGGGCGGAGAAGTTTACCTTGCCTAGATCTCCACTGAAGTTGTTGATCTTCAGATCGATGGTTTTGAGATTTGTACAGTTGCCCAGAGTTGATGGCAGCTCCCCAGACATGTTATTGCTACCTAAATGCAGCTCCTCGAGCCTCTTGAGCAGAGCTATGGACTCCGGAATCTTGCCACTGAAGTGATTCCCTCCAAGGTCAAGAGTAGCTAGATTACTGACTTTGACAATATGTGCTCCATCAAGTTCTCCTTGTAAACCATTGTTGGGGAAGGAGAGGTACTCCAGTGAGGCAACGCGGAAGGTTTCAACAGGGAGAATCCCACTTAGGTTTTTGTTGCCAGCCTTGAGCACTTTGAGCTTGGAACAATCACCCAACGTGTTTGGTATGTCACCGCTCAGTTGGTTGTAACAGAGGTCAAGCAATGCTAAATATGGTGACCCAAGGCAGAGAGAAGATGGTATGTTCCCACTGAAGCTGTTATTGCTGGCGTTGAGTGCAATCAGACTGTTCATCACCTTCCATGTGGCTGATGGAAATTGTGAGCTGAACTGGTTGCTTGAGGTGTTGAGTACTTGCAGAGGCCGGTTGGTGGTAATCAAAGGCGGAAGCTCGGGCAGCGGTCCGTTGAGCCGGTTGAAGCTGACATCGAGGACGATGATGCTTCCGGAGAACATGAGCTCCGCCGGAAGACCACCGGAGAACGAGTTGTGCGAGAGGTTGACGCGCAGCAGGCTGGTGAGATTGGTGAGGAACAGCGAGATGGGCCCTTCAAGTCCTTTAGACTCCAGGGAGACCCCGGTGACGGCCCCATCTCCATTGCAGGAGATGCCTTCCCACTCGCAGCAGTCCGTGCCGTTGTTATGCCACGATGTGGCGAGGCCACCATCACACGAAAGCCCGTCGAGGAACCGTAGGAGGTTGTGCTTCTCCTGCTCGGTGCATGCGGTGGCGGGAGAGGCCAAGAAGAGCAGCACGAACAGCTGCAGCACGACCGGAGGAACAGTGAATGAACACATTGGTTAGTGTTTCTTCCCCCTTATTGTTTTGCTGTTGCTTGAATAATGCATGCAGTGCTGGATAGTTATCATATAGGGGTGGATTTAGTTGCATGTCAGAGCTACTGAACACCATCCATAAGATTCTCTATTTCTTTTCATGGGTGCACCTCAGTGCCTGGGGCCACGATCGGTCGGTGCACCAAAAGACAGTGACACTAGCATAGGAAAGCAACATCCATACCTACCCATTATAGCTATAATAAAACCCTATAAACTAGTTTATATAGCTATCACCTAGTTATGGATGGATTAATAGCTACCGATTAGTCCAAAAATTTCAAGTAGCAAGAAATCAATCTATTATCTCACTGCCCCAAGTTTCATGTTTAAGTGTAAATGCCTGAAGAGAGTAAGGTTAATTGCTAGTTTAGTCGTCTTTCCTGACCTATTCATTGCATTGCTGCTCAAGAGTGCATAGATTTGTCCAGGGCCCAGGGGGTGGTGGTCTCCTCTACAGACTTACTACCACATGTTTATGGCATGAGCTAGTGAGGGCCCAGGGGGTATGAACCTAGTTTTTGGCCCAGGGGGCACGAACCTAGATTTGTCCCAGGTGGTACCAACCTAAATTTGGAAACGTGATTCATGTCTATGGGAGATATTCTGCTCAATAATTGTTATGAGAGGTCATTTTCCGCCAGCTGTATGAATTAATACTCATCATTTCAGTTTGAAAAATGCTTTATGGTTGTGTTTTTTCTCATGCTTCCTGTTAGTTCCCCAGAAATCTTATTTACCCATTTCCTTGGGAGAGGTCCTGGAACAAAACCAGAATCAAAGGCACATATGCATCATCCATTAATGGATATATTTCAGATGCACAAAGAGTGCCCATGGATTATTCATCTGTTCTTTTGTGGCAAAGAAGCTTTGAGCTTCAACTCCCTATGTCTGTTTTTCCTCTTGTCATTTTCCTTTTTGGACAAAAAAAAACACAGCATTTAGATGTCTGCACATGATATAGACATTCCTGCTTTCACTACTCAGCAGCTCGAGTTTACCTGGTAAACAACTGTTCTTGATTAAGTCCTTTTTCAGGACATTCTAATGACAATTCCTTTTTTTTGAATTTGCTTCATGCACTGCCAACCTCTCTTGCTAGCTAATTATTTTCAGGCAGCTAATTTGGCCTCAGATGGTCTGCAGCAATATTGTTGCCATGTTTCTCCATTGTTATTTGTGAACGTAGACAAGTTTTGTTGCCAAAGCTGCTCCTCTTCATAGTTATGATCGATTATACTGTTTATACATGTGCCTGCCAACACACATTCTTCTGGACAAATGGCAATTTCTCTGTTGTATTCCACATACCGTGAGAGTGGGGGTGGGGGGAATCTTTCCCATGGATATGGACTCTTCCAAAGCAGCTGAAGTATTTTTCCTGCTTGCTTGGATCACCATTCTGCTGTTTGTGTTCCTTTTCATGTGCAAACTGTGTAAACAGTTCATCCTCTTCTAAAACTAGTGTAGGTGTAAGGGTCTGTTTGGTTTGTGCCCATATTTACCCTACCAAAAAATTGGCTAGCCAAAATTTAGGTTGAGGTTTTGCTTGCCAACGGATTGGCCAGCATTGACTACAAAACGCAATAGATTGGTAAAGGAGCATTGCCGCATTGGCATACCAAAGAGTTGGTTCCTATCCAATAAAGACCAACGTTTTGATCATCTCAAAAAAAATTGTACTTTGGTCGCAATCGAAACATATCTTAGAACTAGTTAGAACACATAACACCACTTAATTTACCCTTCTTGACCAAAACAGGGTGGTTTTACCATGGTTCACATGCATGTGAACTTGGCTGCAAAGCTACATGGGTGTTTGGCTAGGCTTTAGTTATGGCTTTCTGTGCTTATAAGCTTCCACCCAACCCAAACAGTTTACTTATTTTTGCTGATGTTCCTGCAGCTTTTAAGGGCATGCAAAGCTTTCATGATATTTGTAAAGGAGTTACTACCAAGTGATAGGAAGGACAGATGCTTCAGATTGCCTATTCTTGGTGATATCTCACCATGGAAATGGTTGCCTGACAGCCGCAGTGCAGTCAACATGCTGCATGAGTAAATGCTTTCTGGCACTATGCCACCGAGACGATTCCTCATGAGATCTAAACTTCTTATATTCTGCGGGGTTGAGAAGTTCACCTCGCCTAGATCTCCACTGAAGTTGTTGACCTTCAGATCGATGGTTTTGAGATCTGTGCAGTTGCCCATAGTTGATGGCAGCTCCTCAGACATGTTGTTACCCAAATGGAGCTTCTCCAGCCTCCTGAGCTGACCTATCGATTCTGGGATGTTGCCACTGATGTGGTTCTCTCCAAGGTCAAGAGTAGCTAGATTACTGAGTTTGACCATTTGTGCTCCATCAAGTTCTCCTTGCAAACCATTGTTGGGGATGGAGAGGTACTCCAGCGAGGTAGCGTGGAAGATTTCAACAGGGAGAATCCCACTTAGGTGGTTGTTGCCAGCTTTGAGCACTTTGAGCTTGGAGCAATTACCTAGTGTGTTCGGAATGCCACCACTCAATTGGTTGTGACAGAGGTTAAGCAAAGCCAAAGATGGCGAGCCAAGGCAAAGAGAAGACGGTATGTGCCTAGTGAAGCCGTTATTGCTGGCGTTGAACGCGATAAGATTCTTCATCATTTTCCATGTGGCTGATGGAAGTTCTAAGCTGAACTGGTTGCTTGAGACGTTGAGTACCTGCAGAGGCCGGTCTGTGGTGATCGAAGACGGCAGCTCTTGCAGCATTCCATTTAGCCGGTTGAAGCTGACGTCAAGGGCGATGATGCTGCTGGAGGACATGAGCTCCAGCGGAAGGCCACTGGAGAAGGAGTTGTGCGAAAGGTTGACATGCAGCAAGCCTGTGAGGTCAGCGAGAGATGGTGAGATGCGCCCTTCAAGTCCTTTAGATGCCAGGGAGATCTCAGTGACGGCCCCATCTCCATTGCAAGCCTGTGAGGTCGGCGAGAGATGGCGAGATGCGCCCTTCAAGTCCTTTAGATGCCAGGGAGATCTCAGTGACGGCCCCATCTCCATTGCAAATGATGCCTTCCCACTCGCAGCAGTCTGTCTCATGGTTCCACGACGCGGCGAGGGTGCCATCTCCCGACGTCCCAGCGAGGAACTGGAGAAGTGCTTCTCCTGCTCGGTGCATGAGGTGGCGGGAGAGAGGCCGGAGAGTAGCAGGAACAGCTGCAGCACGGCCGGAGGAATGGTGAAGGAACGCATTGGTTGGTGTTTTTTCCTCCCCCTTCTTGTTTTTCTGTTGCTTGAAGAATGCATGTGGGGCTAGTACTATTTATCATCTAGCTGTAGCTTTATTATGCTAGGGTGTGCAGAACACCATTCAGAAAATTCTGCAAGTCATGGATGCAGCCGGCTGCACAAAAGACAGCGACACTAGCATGGAAATCAATAGCCACGACCCAGTTGACTTTGTCAAATCTTTCATGAGAATACTCTTTATTCACTAATGGAAGATTACACTACATATATTAAGTAATTAAGCTGAATCCGTGATCTTCTCTTTTAGCTTCATTGAACTAGTAAAAAGGAGTTAAAAATGGATTGGGTTTGTTATCTACATATTTTTCTTGATGCAAATGTACCTACCCCAGTGGGGAGCTGGCTATATATAAGGCTAGACACGTCCAAGTTAATCATCAGTTAACAAGAAACCGCCATGTTCCCTCTGACCTGTGATAGAAATTCATCTCACAGCTAACTCCCTTTCCTCTGGTCTGGCTGTGTTCAGTACACAATAGTTGTCTCATGGGGCCATGATTGACCGGCTGCAAAAAAATAGTGACACTAAATTACAAAATGCCTTCCTCCTTTCCCTATTTTTTCCCCACAATGTTCAATCTGGTTTCCCCCTCTCCGGCGGCCTTTCTGGTGCAGGAAGGCAGGAACAAGAAAAACACACATGTACGTTTGAACTGTAGTCTAAAACATTTTCGGCGTTAGTTTTGTGTGTCCTTTTTTTGCTGCTGGAATGCTTGCAGTGCTAGTACATTCTATCATCTAGCTTCAGAACACCATTGAGATTCTTCATCTCATGATGGATGCAGCTAAGAGAGAGGGCATGGGCACTGGGCCACAGTTAAGTTGGCCCCATGGTCCGCAGGCTGCACAAGAGACAGCGGCACTAGCACGGGAAGCAACAACCGTGGCTATCAATTAGCTACAGGTGGCTATCCGATCAACTAGGTATCTGAACTACCATTGGACGGCATTATGATTTAGACTGTCTTTGCTACCTCTAAGTTTGTACCCCGCTGGCTATATAAGGCTGGACACTGCGTCCAAATCATTCGAGCAACTCTACCCGTTAGCACCACAAGGTTCATCTCTCTCCTATGACTGACTTAAATTCGTCTCCTTTACATGCCAACTCTATCTAGCATTTGTTATGCTCTTTACCCACCCCATTGTGTATCTTGGTATAGAATAATTGGTATTAGAGGGAGTACATGGTTCATAAGTTCATAAGGCAACAAATTCAGCGTGCTGATAAAGGGTTCGCAAGAAACAAGTTCGTCCTTAAAAAAAGGGCAGCCCCAGTGCATGTAGCTCCCGCTTGCGCAGGGTCTGGGGAAGGGTCCGACCACTTTGGGTCTATTGTACGCAGCCTTTCCCTACATTTCTGTAAGAGGCTGTTTCCAGGACTTGAACCCGTGAGCTCATGGTCACAAGGCAGCAGCTTTACCACTGCGCCAAGGCTCCCCTTCAAACAAGTTCGTCCTTGCACGAGAAAAATGACGAGAATTTGTATCACATTATGGTTTTCTCTGAAACAATGACTGATACAGTGGAGGATAAAAGTGCTCTGATACAGCGGCAACAAAAAGTGGTGCAACGGAGGATCAGGGTCGGTGTGGTTACGACTTGCGGCGGCTGCGGAGTCGTCGCCACGTCTCGGTACTGCCGGCCTCTACCGCTAGGCCCCCCTCTTTGTACTCTGATAGAATCCTGCATTTTTTCTTGCTTCTAAAAAAAAATCCTGCATTTTGAGCACATAACTGATTTTGTACAGCGCTTTACAAGTTTGCTAGCTAGAGAAACAAACATCATGTACCTGTATTACTCAACAAGCAACGATATGCAACTTTAGAAGAGACTCGACGAACATATAAGTAAGCGACCCACTTGTAGGTGGATACAAAGATGTGAATAACTAAGGCATGTTTACCTTATCCATTACATAATCATACTAGACCATATTACTGTTGAAGTGTGCTTAGCCAAAATATCTGAATGATACTAACTGGTCATATAGCACCCCTATCACAAAGGAAAGACCAAAGGCAACTGAAAAGATGACCTTCATGCTGTATTCTTTTGCAGAGATGATGGAGACGGTAGCGGCTTTAACTGAACTGCAATGATTAGTAAGCACAGAGCCGCACAGCTTTGGGTTCCCGTCAAAACTAGAAGCCTGAAACGTGCTCAGCTGGCCTGTTGCTGGAATAGGTCCTTCTAGGTTGTTGTTAGAAATGTTGAATCGTGAAAGGAAGTGAAGATTCTCTAATTCCACAGGGATTGCACCCGTGAGATGGTTATTAGACAGTCGAGCCCCTGCAGGTTTGTGAGGTTGCAGATGATTGTGGGATCTCTCCATGGAAGTTGTTGAAACCCAAGTTCAGGTAAAGGAGTGCTTTTAGATGACCGATCTCTTGTGGGATTACACCTGTGAAATTATTTTTACCAAGATTCAGCACTTTGGGCCAAGCCCTGCCTATGCGGTATTGACGTCGTGATGGATTCACTGCATAAATAAGTAGACCTAGATCAAGGAGGCTTGGTTCCGATTCCGAATACATGCCAACCTTATCTGATTTTAACAATGGCATCTGCATCAAGGTGATTGGTTTTTCCCCAGTAAGACTGTTGTTAGATACTGTACATTCAAACAAAAGAGGTGGTCTAGGGAGTTGATCCAGCTTGGCATTGGTCCGGTGAGTTGATTGCCGAATAAGCTTAGTATCTTCAGGTTTGTGAGCTTTGACAACCAATTAGGTATGTTCCAGTCAACGAGCAGTGGTGCATGGAGAGATATTGAAGGTTCTGGAAGCCGACAATGGCATCATCTTGTGGCATGGCCTCATTCATGAAGTTTTGCCAATAAGCAGGGTGCTGATGTTCCTACAGCTCTTCAGAACATTCAAAGCTTTTGTGATGTTTGTGAAGGAGTTTCTAATAAGTGATAGGAAGGGCAGGTGCTTCAGATTGCCTATTCTCGGTGAGATCTCACCATGGAAATGGTTGGCCGACAGCCGCAGTGCAGTCAAATTGCTGCATGAGTAAATGCTTTCTGGAATAATGCCACTGAGATTATTCCTCCTGAGATCTAAACTTCTTAGATTCTGCAGGGCGGAGAAGTTTACCTTTCCCTCCACTGAAGTTATTGATCTTCAGATCGATGGTTTTGAGATTTGTACAGTTGCCCAGAGATGATGGCAGCTCCCCAGACATGTTATTGCTACCCAAATGTAGCTCCTCCAGCCTCTTGAAGTGATCTATATTGACTGGGATGTTGCCACTGATCTGGTTCCCTCCTAGGTCAAGAGTTGCTAGATTACTGAGTTTGACCATGTGTGCTCCGTCAAGTTCTCCTTGCAAACCATTGTTGGGGAAGGAGAGGTACTCCAGCGAGGTTGCGTGGAAGATTTCAACAGGGAGAATCCCACTTAGGTGGTTGTTGCCAGCCTTGAGCACTTTGAGCTTGGAGCAATTACCCAGTGTGTTCGGAATGTTGCCACTCAATTGGTTGTGACAGAGGTCAAGCAAAGCCAAAGATGGCGAGCCAATGCAAAGAGAAGACGGCATGTGCCCAGTGAAGCTGTTATTGCTGGCGTTGAGCGCGATCAGATTCTTCATCACCTTCCATGTGGCTGATGGAAATTCTGAGCTGAACTGGTTGCTTGAGACGTTGAGTACCTGCAGAGGCCGCTCGGTGGTAAACAAATATGGCACCTCAGGCAGCAGTCCGTTGAGACGGTTGAAGCTGATATCAAGGACAATGATGCTTCCGGAGGACATGAGCTCCATCGGAAGGCCACTGGAGAAGGAGTTGTGCGAAAGGTTGACACGCCGCATGCTGGTGAGGTCGGCAAAGGCACGGCGAGATGCTCCCTTCGAGTCCTCTAGATGCCAGGGAGACCTCCGTGATGGCCCCATGCTCATTGCAAATGATGCCTTCCCACTCGCAGCAGTCTGTCTCATGGCGCCACGACGCGGCGAGGGCGCTGTGTCCCGACATCCCAGTGAGGAACTGGAGAAGTGCATGCTTCTCCTGTTGGGTGCATGAGGTGGCAGGCGAGACCAAGGAGAGCAGCAGGACCAGCTGCAGCATGGCCAGAAGAACGGTGAAGGCACGCATTTTCTGCACTTCTTGTTTTGCTGCTGCTTGAAGAATGCATGCAGTGCTAGTACTAGTTATATCATGCAGCAGGGGGGGTGCAGAGCGCCATTCAGAAAATTCTGCATGTCTATAACCACTACTCCCTCCGTTCCTCTTTGTATCATACATCCGTATGTGGTCCATAGTGGAATCTGTACGAAGACTTATATTTAGGAACGGAGGAAGTAGCATGGAAATCATGCAGCCGGCTGCACAAAAGACAGCGACACTAGCATGGAAATCAGTAGCCACGACCCAGTAGATTTGGTTAAATCTTTCATAAGAATAGTCTTTATCCATTAATGGGAGATGATGCTACATGTAGTTAGCAAATAGCTGGCTGCGTCTTCTCTTCTAGCTTCACTCAGTTACAAAAAAGATTGGTTTAGTTATCTACAAAAAACAAATCTTGAAACAAATATATCTAACATTCTACCATTGAAGGTCCATGGTTTTCAGTGCTTGCCACAGTTTGTAAATTGAACTTACATGATCTTGGAGATGTTTATCTACATTGAACTTACATGATGCTGGAGATGTTTATGTACATTGAACTTACATGATCCTGGAGAAACTTGTAAATTGAACTTACAGTTTGTAAAAAAGATTGGCTTAGATCTATATTCGTTTTCCTTCAAACAAACACATCTAACATTCTGCTACCCTGTAAGGTTCATCTCTTGAAGGTTAATGGCTTTCAGTGCTTGCCAGTTTTGTAATTGATTGTACATGGTCTGGAGATGTTCTACTTTGGTTTGCGGTCTCACGACCAGTGGCACATCAGTGACAACATTCCTGTACTTTTACTTGGAAACCATTCCCAGCATGTGGTTGATTCAGTTCTTTTGACGGGGAGGACAGACCGTGCATTTACGCGTGACATTGTCCACGCAACTAATCCATATTAATTGTCGTTGATTTAGTATAAAGTCCCCATAGTTCGTTGCAACGCCATATGCACGCTTCGAGGTTACATCCTCCTTTGTATTGGAGATCCTCGCAGTCCTCCGCCGCCACCTTCATGCCCACGCCTGTGGGTCGATCCTGGAGCAAGTAATAACGAAGAGAAAATCGATCAGAAGATCACCATACATCTGCTACGTGAGTTTACCACGATTTTATCATATGGAGGAGGTACAAGAACAATACTCCTACATGGAAAAGAATTCGTTTGGAGGAGGAAACGTACCTGAGGATAGAACAACAAGGCCAAGGACCAAGAAGAACATGCAGCAGGTCGTCATAAATCATCATGGTCTCCTTAGAAATTTTGGCTAGTGATCGCCTGGCTAATGGCTCCTGAACATGATCTGATGATCAGATGTTGGCGTGCGCTCACAGGGAATTTATGTAGGATGGTCGTGCTTATCTTGTCTGCAAATAATGCATTTATTACTCCCTTTGTCTTCGTTTTAGGTTAACTGAACTAAAACCACGATAAGTATTTTGGAACCGGAATAGCTTCACACACGACGTTCTCTGGATGGCATGTGGAAGATGGCAGATCCCATGTTCCTTAGTCATGGAGGAATTTAATCTATCGGTGACTAGCTAGTGTCATGCATGCATCGGTCTAAATATCGCCGGCTTCATAGCACTGCTCTTTTGGAACGGAGGGAGTATGTCATAACTGCAACATTGAAGATAAGTTGCACGAACTAAGAGCAGTAAATGATTTTTACATGGAAGGAGGAACATATCCTGGCAACAGTAATTCCTATATTTTCTCTGGTTTTTTTTTCAGTAACCATGCACCAATGCACGTGCCAACCACGTCTCTATCAGTATAAATTAAGCACATTTTTTTAAACCATGTTCGTCATAGGACAGTTGCAACTAAATTCAACAAAAGCCCTTTCCGGAAGCATTCCAGATTCAGAAATGGCATTTCCAAAATGAACTATAAGAGAACATAAAGATATACATGGTCATATCAACTTTGCAACGGTCTTAGAAAAAATAATTTCATAATGTATGGAAGTAATCAGCTGTCAAGCAAATCATTAATACTTCATCGTCTTGCATTTCGTCTTCTATGACTTCAACATCACCACTTGCACCAAATGATATGGATCACCAGATGGGCGTTTTTCAGTACATTATGCTGAATATACCCTAAATTAAAAGAAGCAAACTTGACTAAAATAGGTGCTCAAGTGTGGACTATCCAATAGATAATATCATGCGTGCACATTTTCACTAAACAGTGTTTACTCAGCTATGTCATCACATGATACACAAAATGATCATGGAATTAAAAAAATAAATAGGAGTGTCTGAAAGAATTGATGGTTTTGAAAACATCAAGATTCTTGCAGTCCAATATATATTGACCACTGTTTCCCTATTAAAGCTCTGAAATCAGGAGATGTTATTCTTGTGAAACAGTGAGCTCAGCTGTTCGACTCCAGTTTGGATCAGAAGGTTGAACTTTGTATCCTATGTCAACCCAAACAGCGACAAACTAGCTTACAGGGGCAAATCACAGCAGAAATGTTTGCAGATGTCAATGCTGAAATCAGAATAAACAATTTTTCAGGTGGTCAACGTTGAAATGAAATGTTAGTCCTGGACCATGCAACGACCTGATCTTCATTGACTCTCAGGTCTCAATAATGAAGATGAGGCACGATCGTACCCGAATGCATATCTATAATTCAGGAAAAGAGCACACAGCTGCAGATCACCCCATCCATTGGAATGTTTGCCTAGCTAACTCCCTGTTCTTCACAAAGCCATGTGCACATTACATGAAGATCACAGCACAAAAAAGGTGCACACATCAGGTCCATAATAAAGCCAGATCAGTGACAAAAGGGAAACCTAGCTATGCATCAAGTACTGAGATAACTATACCAGATGTCAAGATTATGACTAAATAGACGGCACCCCAAAAGGTTGTTTCTATCTGAATTCTGACTAGTTCATATATATTTCTCTAACAGTTCAAGGCTGTTACAAGCATGCACATATAAACCAACAGCCATCAGATTAATAAGTTCTTCCATTATCAGAAAAGACCGTGAAACACACATTCTGAAACCAGCTAAAATCTCAATGCTTATCTGTCACCCAGCACCATCTATCAGCCCAGCCATTACTCCCTCTTAGTACTAACGATGTTCCTTTATACTGCACAGAAATTGAGCACATTTATGCAACATATACGCATGATTCTGTCCCTGCCGATACCATATGTCAAATACGCATCTTACTTGGTTTTCCTGCTCAAGTAGTTAACAAAGAAATCTAAAACCCTGTAGCACTAAATTAAATCGCAATACAACTCTAATAAGGCAAAATCTACTAGTACTAGGTTGGAACGTTGGGATTCAAATTGCATTAAAATGGGCCCCAATTTATTAGTATCTTCCCATAAAACTGTTCTTCTCACTTATAAAGAAGAAAAAGGCATGGCCACTTCTCCTCTAGATTCATACGCCACATCAAGATAGTAGTAAATCATACTAGTTCTGTTTTAGAGAGATACTAGCAAGCATAGTTCTGCCTGAACCCTTGCACATATGGATGTGCTAACGCTAGAACTAACACTAAAGCTGAATATATGTCCATGTTCCCTAGCAAACAAAAACATTGGAGGATACTGATCACCTGTGCAATAGTCCGCCCCAGCAAAATTGTCCCTAATTCGTCGCCGGTTTCCCTTTTTACGCCAGACAAACAGAAAAACAGAGCACTTGAGGAACTCGTCCAACCAGATGCTAATCCACCACCTCTGCGAAGCCCATGTCGATGAGGAACTCGTCCGCCTGCTGCCACTCAGCCTGCGTCAGGTCAGTGTCAGTCCTGAGATCGTCCAGCGCCGGGCCTGGGATGATGCTGTCCGAGCGGACGTCGCAGGGGGGCGGCTCCGGGAAGTCGCTGAGAAGGTCCACGGACGACCCATCCCCGTCATCAGCAGCGGCCGCCGTGGGTTCTTGCTCGAAGTCGGTCTTGGCCGCGGCCGCCGTGGGGTTTTACTCGAAGTTGGTCCTGGCCGCGGCGCCGTACATCCCGACGGCCGCCGCGTCGTACGCTCCGGCGGCCTCCACGGCGGTGTCGAACCTTCCGACCGCCACCACCTTTTGCCTCTCCGAGTCCCACAGGCCCGCAAAGTACTTGCCGTTCGGCTGCCGGGACACGCCGACGAACTCGGTCCGGGCGTCAGGCCTGGGCGCCGCCGGCTTCTTCTTCTTTGCTGCCGCCGCCCGGCCGGCCGACCCGGAGACGCCGTCCTGCTCGTAGTTCGTCACGGCCCGCGCGCCGTGCAGCCTGACGGCCGCCTCGTCGTACGCCCTGGCGGCCTCCTCGGCGGTGTCGAAGGTGCCGAGCCAGCGCGTCTGCACCTTGGAGTGCCCGATCCGCGCCCCGTAGTTGCCGGCACGCGTCCGGGACACGCCGCGGAACTCGGTCCGGGCCTCCGGCCGCGGCGGCGCCTTCTTCCTCGCCGCCCTCCCCGCGCCGTACGCTCCGGCGGCCCCCTCGGAGGTGCTCCCCTTCCTCCTCCCACCGGCAGCTTCCGCGGCCTAGTCGCGCTCCACCGCCCCCACATCCACGCCGCCCGGCAGGCCTTGCTCACGGACGCTCTCCGCCGTCGCCGCCATCACCATCATCACACTGGACTGCGCCGGGGTGGGCAGGGCACGCCGCCGCAACAAGAGGCGGAAATGCGCGAGCTTTCGTGGGGTTTTGAGAGACAGCTGGCGTAGAGGTTCTGTTTGTGATTCGTGCAAGCTGCAAGATTTCGTCTTGCAGTTGCTCTACACTGTACTGTATTGGCGGCCAGCACAGCTGTCAGGTTAGGTTAGGCTGGAAAGGAAAAGAAAAGAAAAATGTCCATTTTACTATCCGAAATAAACTTGGTGGTTCACAATACCCCTTATCT